CCAAGCAATCAAACAGCGCAGCGTACGGTATAAAATATTTTCCATGCAGACATGAATGTTGCAATTTGAATTGCGTGCTGCCAAATTCCGATGAAAATAACTTTTATTTGAAATATGCAAAATGCGAAGGCGGCGAAGCTGATATATTGAATAATTATTATTTCAGTAAATAGACATTTTATAAGATTCATGCTAATTAAATAAAAAATAAGTTGGTAGACTGAAATGCTAGAAAACGCGAGGAAAAAAACTCAATTTATCGGAAACTGTTACCATGCCGATGCACGAGCAAAGCGTGATGAACCCTCATTGTTGTCAGATTTTTCGTGTTTTTAAATTTGCGAATTCTATTCTGGGTTTGGCATTAATGTGGCGTATATTACATTTATATGCATAATGACGAGAAAAATGCGGAAAAATAAACGCAAACGCATTCATAACATCCGGAGAATGAAATTCTAACTGGATGTTTGGCCAATATAACGTTGCCATTATTTGTTATTTCCAAAAGAGAAACAAATGGGGTTTCGTTCACCATAGTGACATGCAGAAATTGATGCCTTTTCATTTATTTATATTGCGTCAAGGTTGATCATATACTGTTTTACGGATTTACCTGTAATTTGGTAAAACGACAAACATTCAAACATTCATTATCTGCAGAAAATAACTCGATCGAATAACGGTTAATTTCATTAGAGCGAATAGAAGCACAGAGTGCTAATCCACTTTGTTTAAGTTTGAAGCATAAATCATTTGGACATTCGAATGTTTGAATCGTAACGAAACGAGAAATTGTAAGGGATACTTCTAGATGATTCTCGCCAACAGCCGTAACCCAGTAATGTTTACTTTTATTAGGAAATTATATTAATATCCTCATTAAATGGCTTCACAGCGATGTTTTTATGTTGAAATTCAGCAAAATTCGCATGAAAACTAAATCTGTATTTGGCATGTTGAGAAACTTTCTCTTACATCGATCGAGTTGAAAAACTATAAGTTTTGATACAGATGCCATAAAAAGAACAACAGTGTAAGAGTATGGCAGAAAATTGAAGTGTTTTCGTTTTTCATATTTCATTGGAATATTATGAGTTGAGCATTTCAGAAATGTTTGGTACCTCAAGTAAGCGCTTCAATTGAAGAGTATAGATAACCGCTATATTTTCCATTGCGAACGCAATGTTTATTTAATAACTTTCAAGCACACATTTAAGTATCCTCGGTGGACGTTTCATCGTTGTCTTTGCTTATTTAGTCATAACGGCTAACGAAAACAAGGCGAATAAACTTTTATTATTGATGATGATGAAAAAAAATGCAAACAACTCAAATTTAATTCAATTAAGTTGCTTCCATGGTACCACACACTTTTTTTCGCTAACCATTCCATTTTACGAACATTAGATAATCAAAAGGGTGTTTCAAATGGAACTTCCCTTCGAATTTTTTTTTCAAATTCATATATTTTTCAAGCGAATTACCGCAGGCATGTGAATGTTTTTTATGCCTCGACGCTATTCCTGTAAAAGGTAAATCGTTAGAAAAATGCAGCACATTTCTCAACGGAGACATTATAATCATTCACACAACCTGCGAAAATTTGAATTTATTTAAATTACAGCCGTTTAGCAATGGACTAATTCTGTACATGTCTAAGCGTTGGCTTGATAATAGATTAACCGCGAGTGGAGTAGCTAAACATTGGATGCATAATATATACTTGCCCTGAAACCACTATATGCCAAATATTCCCAAGCGACAAACACTTCGATCAAACCATGCGCTAACTAATTTCAAAGTGATCGAGTTCTTATCAACTTTCAAATTGATTTGAAACTTTTAATGCAGTCACTCTGGTTTTCCAAGTTCAATAGCTTCTTTCATAATTGATTAATTGAACGTTTGACTAATGATTGATTTGTGTTGAAATTTTCATGAAATCTGATTTAAGATTAAAAAAAATGTTTCTACTCGAAGTAATTCAATATTTAGCGCAGTCATGGCAACAAACCAAAATATTCCATGCAACAGAAAAGTCGACTCAAGGGAATGTTTCTTTTTCAAAAAATGATACTGACTGTAAAACGAGCTTTGTACCTAGCTATGAAAAAGAAATGAACCCTCACTTGAACACTTGAAATGGAAACAGTGACATTAGTTGGGTTTAAAATGTCCACACTTTCAGACAGTGTGAATTGAGAATGATAAATCTAGCAGATATAACACCAAATGGATTACCTATGAATATATTCTTCTTCTCTTATTTGATTCTGCAGTTTCGGAATTCTTTGTTCTGTTATTGCCGTGTCCGTTCTTTGCCTGTAAGCATGTCTACCTTTCATTCATTCGAATAGAATGTGACAAGGAAAGTCATCATTGATGACCAAACATGACCGTTTCGGTGTTTTATTAGAAATGAAAATGCCAGCGTTGTCCTCTCTCTTTCTTTCCATCTGTATCTAATGTCATTGTCAGTCTACATTGTATACCATTTGAAATCTACTCTAATTAGATCAAAACATAATATGCAACGTGAGCTAGCTCCCAAAGGTTTTTAGTATTTTATGTATCTATATGCTATCTCTGATTCGGTTCGTTGGTGGCGACAGCAGAGCTGTTATCACAAACTAATGTGTAATACAAGAAAAAATGTGTGAAAATGTGTTAGAAAAAAGATATCGAACGAAAGTTCATTGTATGGTGAGTCGTGCGTGTGCAAACACTTTTCAAAGCGTTTCATCATAATGCGATGTGTTCAATGTTAGAATTGGGGTATTTCCGTTTATATAAATTTAGTTCTGTGCTTCGGCTGTATGTTTTGTGACTTTTGTAGGCAATCATCATCTCGTGAGTGAATTTGTTGAGGACCGAAATACCTGGCCAACGAAGATTGTCGTATCAATTACGCACTATGCGTCTGATGGGATACATAAAATGTAAACGTCTACGAAGTTTTCAGTTCTATCTTTTGTCCATATTCGTACAATAATAGTCACCCCCATAACAACGTAAAAAGTATTCCACGAAAAACTTGCAAAGTCATCCACAATTAAATACGAAATTTTCGGACCAGCTTTCCAAACTTTGCCATCATGCGTAAATATTTGGAATTGAAAAGAAGGGAATTTCGAGGAAATCAGGATATGCGACCAGCAAAAAAAAAGTGTTTAACTCGCTTTTCACGTGCGTTGTACCTTTTTATTCCATAAACCAAATTGCTGTGAAATAAGCCTGCAATTTCCCAACTGTAAAAACATTTTTCTTCGTTAAAACTTTTTATATGCGTGAAACGTTCTCAATTCAGATTTTCGGTCGTAAATTCCGCATTTCGTATATATACCCTGCATATATGGAGTTTTGTCATACATGATAATATGTGCACAGTGTACACACCTCGACAATAAATTTAATGGCAATACTTACTGAACGAACTTATGATTGCCACTCATAAAATACTGAACGCTTATTTCTTTTTACAACTTTACGTAAAAATATGCGAGTAAAAATGCCAGTATGTGTATGCATATCAGTTGATTAGTATAACACTGGAACTGGCGCTACGATACTTATGTAAGTTTTGAAAACATCTGTTTTCGCTGCTAAAACAATTTCGCATAAATTTAAACGTCATTTTTGCCATTTTGAGTAAATTTCGTGCAACATTTCAAAAACAATGAACATTTCGTATTCGCATAGCACTGGTCGTTTGCCAGATGCGGCCAATAAAATAGAATAATCGCAGTAGTCGCTGGAGAAATAAATACAAATGCTTAACATTACAGTCAATGTGACTTATGCATTTGATAACCTATCTATGAAACAAAATTTCGCATTATGAATTTGAGATAGCAGAGCTTCTTATCTTATTTTATTTGAAAAAGGACGCGATTTTCTGCAACCATTGCCGCAATAAATTTGTCAAATTCTTGGATTATTAGTCATTTGTAACAATTCATATGAATTATTTGCATTGAAACGGAGCTTATTGATTTATATGTCTGTGGCTGAACATAAATGGAAATTCGCAGAAAATGCTCAAATTTTATTTCAATCAGAGCAAAACTGGCAAGCATGCATATGGCATTCATACAAATTTTACCGAATCAATTTTAATTTGGCTGAATTAAATTCAGCGGATAATCTGATATGCACATTTTTGAAATGATTCAAATATTTCGAATGTTATTTTTCCACCGAATAAATTTCACTTAATTCAATTTGCTTTTATTTCGACACGGCAATTTGTTTCCTTTAAAAATAATAATGATCGATGAAATGCGCGGTGGAAATTCGTTCTACACCATATTTTCTCCAAAAAAAAACAGTAATTCATTTCATTTCGTTCATTTTTACTGCCAAACTCGAGCTAGAAATGAAAATTGTGCGAATGTTATTTTGTACAAATGTAGCAAAAAACATGAAAACTTCGTTGTGATTCTGACGGGTGAAATGACTTTTGTGTACATTTATTTCATTTTTTCGTGTTTGATTTGTATAAATCAGTGGAGCTGCGAGTATGATTCCAGCAAAGATAGATTATGACGCAAAATAGAAAACGACGCGGCAATGTTATGTGGAACTTTGTTCTCCTTCAAGATTTATCTATATAAAATGAACAGATATGAATATGGAATATAGCATTAAAGCCTTTTCAAGTAGTTGATGTGCGAGCTTGAAATCATTACCATGCACAAAATCAGGATTTATTCACGAACATCTTCAACAAACTTCTGCATACGGCATACGGCGCAATTATGACGGCAAGAATATGCAAAAATGCTTTTACCAAATCTCATAATATATACAATATTCAACTATTTTACGAGTAGGTAAACATTGGGTAAATGCAATTTTTTTCGTGTTCAACAAAAACAAAATGAAAGTTGTTGAAATGCATTTTAATATTTAATTATGATTGATGTTGCATTTATTCCACTGGGACTTTATGTTCTGAAAGTAATTCGCGGAATTTTTTTTTATTTTCATTTCGACAGAACCAACGAAAGCTTTTTAAATCAACATTAAGCACATAATTGGTGAGAAAAAAAAAGAGATTCATTGACATACCGAAAATTGTTTGCGTCAATGGCTTGTAGTCGATCTCCACCGGCAAGTCCTCGCGCTCCGAAAATTCAACAGCAAATTTGGGACGATTGTGCAACACCACCAGTCGGCCTATTCGACCCGAATAAATTAAGAAAATCAACGCGAGATTCACCAAAGTCGAGAAGTATCCACAGCTCATCACAAGATGACTCACCGAAATTATATCGGTATATTTTTGTGCAAATCCAATCGTGACATTTGCAAAACAAGGTATTATTATGTTTATGGTTAATCTGTTTGTTTGCAGGGATCAAAGAAGCCCAAAATCACCGCAAAAATTTACCTATGGTCCGAAAGTGGCAGAGCCACAGTATTTTAGTCTCGAAGAGCCGCCGCGCAGTCCAAAAATAACATATTCAACACCATCGCCGACATCCAGTAAAATGGCTGACATTTCTGGAAATGTATCACCGTCTAGCGGTTATTTTGAACAACGCAGTCCCAAATATTTATCGCATCAATCATCACCACGAAAATTCGTGTTCGATGCGGTCAGTCCCCGGCGCGAATCTATCGGTAAATCAAAGTTTTCATGCGAAATCATACAAGCGTAACGCAAAGCAAAAAGAAAACAAAAAAAAAAAGCTAATGTTCTTTCATTCCAAATAAAACCCTTAGAATGCATTGGTTTCCATTAATTATTTGCAATTTTCTTGTTTTTCTGCTCGGCTGTTTGCGAAAGGGACACATTTATTTTTGATAAATTAATGCGAAGATATTTGAATAAGCAGTATAATGATTTGGTAATATTTATAAAAGAAAACCCCAGTGTCACTTGCGCAATGCGATACTTATTGCTTAATGCCGTGTCACATTGAGGCGTGGGCTGCATTTCACAATGAATTTTTAATAATGTTACCTCATTTGATATTTCGTTGCTTTTGTAGAATATGCTTATGTTTTATCGTTGTATATTTTCACTGTAAAATCACCGACCCGAATAATTGTCAACAAACTGATTAGATACTACCAAATCCATAGATTATATCATTTAAACATGGTAAATTGGTTTTCATATGCTTTGATTTTCAATCTTTTGCACATTGTATTTTGCAGCTAGTAAATCTGGATTTAGTGTAGCCAAACCGAATGATGTTGTCGATATGCATGAATTTGACACAACCCCACCAAATTCACCATACAAATTTCCATCGTCGATGTCACATTCGATTAAGCTTAAGCGTCAATCGTCATTGCACTATAAGAGATCACAACAATACCATCAACCACAACAGCATTCCCATAGACAATCGCCAAATTTCGATTTGATAAAACAATCGTCCGATCCACTGCATTCGACTTTTGTTACAGATTTTCCTAGCAATGTGCGCAAACAACAACAACAACAACAAAAACAGATAGCAGCACCACCACCATCACAACAACTGCAGCATCAGCACCAACAACAACAACACCAACAACAACAACAGCGACGACAGTCAATATCAAATGAGGCATCGTCTGAAATAAGCGCGGCAACAACAGCATTATGCTGCGAAAGTACAACCACCACCGACACCAGTCGACAAAGTAGTTCCGATTGGCGACGTCAAGCTATGCATATCACTTCCAATCCAAACTACCAGGTGAATAAACATATTCTCCCCAACATCTCTGTCACTGTCATCGCACCACGCAATATTCACTTTAGTTTAATTGCACTTATTGTTTCAACAAAAAGAAACATAATTAAAAATTTATGTAACAAATTGCCTTTCCTGCTCTAGAATTGACTCTCCTTCTCTCCTCTCTCCTCTCCCTTTGCCTTCTCTTACACTCTGCAACTCGAATCCATGCGACGAAAAATCGAGAAAGAGAATAAATATGCAGATTGCAGACACTGCTCATATTCTACAATAGATGAATGAAATAGCGAGTCTTACACTCTATCATATATACATACTACTTTTTTTCCTTGCATCGGTGATTGCGAATGGCTTTTATGCGATATGCAATGTATATATTTCCATTAAATATCCATTTTTCTGACGTACGTTCGCACGTCTGTTCGGCTCATTCGTTCGCCGCCTTTGCAATATGCTATATTATATTTCACAGAATTTTGATATATACGGTATGTATTTGTGTATGCTTTTCATGCTTTTTATGTAGGCTTTGCACACTTCGCATTCGACATTGGATCGAACATGCTCAGATAGTGTAATGATGTCTTCGTGCTGTCGAAAATCAACAAGTGACCTAACTTCCGTGACTGAGAGCAACATTGGGGCACCTGTAGCATCACACCATCGTCGTCGCGGAAGTTCAAAAGTAAGCCTTCATTTGTTTCATTCACATTCACATTCTATGAACGAAATAAACGTACAAACGCACAAATCCAAAAGCAAATTAACCATAACGGATAACGATACATACAATACATACACACGCGCACACGCATGGCATTGTACACGACTGTATCGTAATGTGCCTATTTTACATGGAAGGAAATACGGCACACACGCGCGCCACTTTTATTGTCGTCGAAAATACAGGTATTATTGCTTTGATGTGTAATGTATAAACGACAATTGTATACTCTCGACATACATTTGGTATTCAAAAGGAAACCCCAAATGAATCTCTGTGTGTGCGTTGCACCACATAAACACATTCATTAAAAGCCAATGAGAAAAATAATTGAAAATGATTTCATTTAATCTTGCGTCTATTACATAACTGTATAACGATTTATTTAATCTAACCAAACAGCGTGTTTCATTTTTCATTTAAATTTATATTTATATATTTTTCTTGTCGTGCGATGCGCGATATGCGTATGTACGTAGGGAGGCCTAGCGCTTTTAGCAAGTCGTCGTAATTCGCGCGATTCCATTAAAAGTGCTGCGTCAAATTCATCATTATTCTCAAACGAAGATGTTGGACCTTTGGCTTTTCAAGCTTCGGCGAGAGGACGTCAACGAAGGACATCAAATTTTCTGGAATTACCTGGTAATTATTACATTTTATCTTATATTCAATTAGCGACGATTAAACCTTTTTCATTAAATTTTCTTTTTGCTTGATGCATCGTAATTGGCAACCAATCCAATTTTTTCAAATAATTGAACATTTTTTTCTGCTTTTCTTAAAAATATATTTTTTTCACGACATTTTAGTCAGTTTAGTGGTGAAGGTTATTGCATTACGTACACTATATCCATTTCAGTTTTACTGAATTTGTGAATTTTTCATGCAAAATGAATTAAGGATGGAAATTACATTCCGACCTTTTGACCTCATTTCCTCATTTTAAATTAATATCTTTTGCATCAAAGACAAGCTGCTTTTTTCCCACTCATCTTGCACGACTTCATTTCTGAGAGTAAAATAACGACGGTTGAAGTTGACCACCACTTACAGTTGAGTCCATTGAATACACTGACGATTGCAACCACGATTAAATTAATGTAAAACAAAATACAAATTAACCTACGTACGCGCTGTATCGATTCTATAGCATATATATGCTATAGCGACTCTTTTTTTGCGAAACGTTAAAATTCTGAGAATCAGTTGGAAAAGAAAACAAACATACACACACTCAAACGAACTCTGCCATTTTTTTTGTTGTTGAACATCCTTGCTATGTATTTGCGCATTTGATGTAGCATTCTCTCATTCTCAAGGCAAAATTGTCGATTTATTAACATGGAATGTGCCATTACTAACTATTCAAATGCGATACGAGCTCTGAATTAATAACCAAATTCCACGAATGACATTCTACTAATGCAAATAGCTAAATAATTCCAAAAATATGTTTAATGTTAAATTCACATAAAATGTACTCTGTAGCATCGTTATCGTTGCAAAAACTTCTAAATTGAAAATTCTTTCGTGTGATGAATAGAATTGTGGTGAAAGTGTGGGAGAGAACGCGCGCAAGCCAATCAAAAGAAACGCATTCATTCCTATGAATGTGAAAGTCAAAGCATATATTTTATTCTTGCTGTATGCTTAGTAGCAATTTTGTAGAACTTAAATAGGCATTATTATCCGTACACTATTTTTGAGTCTGCATTTACCAATTTGTATGTGACAATGCAAAGTTGCGGATATAAGAAGAGAACAAGTCAAAAATTTTGAAAATATTAAAAGTTTCAACAGAAAACAATAAGAGCAAAACGGTGTTTGCCGCACTTATATATTTGATCGGCATTCTGTTATCCATGAATTGCGTCTAAAATTCACATTAAAACGGCACGGGAAAAAAAGCACTCGCAAATTTGTGAGCGTAACATTGAATTTTTGAATAATGTGACCTGTAATCAAGCGCAGAAATGGTTGCTTCGTAAGAATTGCCGCAATAAAAGTTTCTCGTTTTTATTTATATACATATATCGACAAGAAAAATGCTGATAACAAAAGTACGAATATCGTTTGACGTGGGCGCCGAAAGGAATTTGCATTAGTGAAAATAAACGTTTCTTTGTTGTTTTTTTTATTTACTTTGAACTTTTTTTTCAACCAATTCTCTCATGCCCCTCAGTGCACCGTTTCTTGGTGAGGTGGTGCGCTTCGATCGAACAAACAAGTGCTAAGCAAATCATTCAGGAATTAAGTGAGAAGCAGCAAAAACAAAGTGATAGCATACCGTGACTGAATATTAATGAAAGCGATAAATCACTGGAAAAATGATTGAAATGGAGAAGTGGAAAGTTGTCGGGATAAAGCATCTGCTACATTTTCAATTTAAAATGAACGAATCAACAAGAACACCAATCAACAGCCTCTCCTTCTCTCTACCTCAAGCTGCCTCAAAGAAATCGATTATTTTGCGTCGATTATTGCCAAATACATTTTACATTAGACATTCGCCAAGTTTTATGAGTAAAAACACAAATTAAAACATTTAACAACTGTCTTCAAATTCAAAAGAAGAATAAAACAAAGTTTTTCTTCATTTCTTCGTTTTCGTCTACTCCATCTGTGTAAATCATTGTTACTTCTTCTGTTATTGCCTTTGTACCCTGGTTAGTTGTGCAACAACTTTTACCAAAGCTTTCTCTCTCACGACCGTTTATCCTTGCGTGACGGCCATTCGCCACTCATTCGTAGTGATTCAAAGAAATCGTTTTGTTTGCATTGAAGAAAAAAAAGGGGGAGCCGAAGAAATTTCGATCGAATGTAAGTGGGTTTTTTGTTGCTGGTATTGTATGGACATGAGATTTTCGGTCGAAAGTTAGCAACCGCGCTATGAAAACTCAGCAGAGATCAATAAATCATTTTTTTAAGCTTTTAGAGACACATTCAGCGCTATATATTATATATATATTCCATTAAAAATGGGACTATACAACACACTGTGGCACGCAATTCTAAGCATTCTAAAGCATTTTATACGGAAACTAAAGACGAAAGAAAAAGATTTGAAAAAGAAGTGTGAAAATATTGTGGCTTGTGAATGAAGAGAGCCGATATGTTATATGTGCAATAAATCATTCCCATACAAACGAAGACTCTGTGTCACAAAGAAAGGGAAAGAAAAAAAAGAATCGTTACTCAAACAAAAAATATGCTGCACAAGCAACCCGAATGTTGTAATATTTGATTTTTCTATTCACTTTTATGGTTGTTTGCAATCTTCTATTCAAACAATTACGAGATTTTCTCATTGCGGATGATTTTCCATTTAATTTTCTGGGAAAAAAAATGCTTTTACGTTACCAAGATACTGTAATACCTCATCGAAATGCATACCAAACGATATTTCATACTTGTTGCGTCGTTTATATCGCTTATAACTGTATGCCGGTTAGATTTGAGCTGTTTTCTCCTTTTATCTTGATGTTTTTTTTTCTTTTTCATTCTTAGAAGACAAACATTTACAACGAATCAAATTTAATAAAATTCTACGCAGCATATTTCTTCAATCAGTAATTGCTTTTGCATAAATACATTTCAAGGGATGATTTTTGAATTTTTTTTTATTACTGTTAATGTCGCACACGTATTATCCACATGGAAAATGTTGTTCGTTGAAATTGCAAAATTTGGTTTATCTTTAAATTTATCTTGAACATTTTAATAGTAAATATCGTTAAATTTTTATTTACTTTAGTTCCTGATCATCAGCGTCCTCGTGTTTGCTCTTTGCCCGATCGCCCGTACAATCCTCGGCAAAGTGATGACCTGTACCGGTTGCGCACATTTTCCATATCAAAAGGAACCGTTGTCAATTGTGGGGATTCAATCATCAGTCGACGGTCTCGCAGTAATACCTCGGTCAATTCAACAACTAGTCGGTGAGTTAAACAATCATCAAACAAACAGATTGTGAAGAGAGAAAAGGAAAGATTGTCAAATCCTTATGGTTGTCTTATCTAAATCCTTATCCTCAATTCAAGAAGTGTTTTTGAATGATAAGAACCTTTTCATACATCAAATGCTCAACACTTGAATCACATGCGTACTTATGTGCATACACATTTTCGATTGAATTCTCAACACTCAAAACCTATGTCAATATTTACCCTTTTTCCCCCCGTCTATTAGTATCTATCAGGAAATAATTTATACAAAGCTAATGTGTTGGAATTTTCGAATTTCATGCATATTTCAATAAAATTGCTATCGGCTATTTCCGTTACCTGAAATTGAAAAGTGACGGAAATGATTTTATGCTAGCATTAACATGAATTGAATAATTTCACATTTCGGATATAACTTATGCCGTTTCATGTAGCAAAAACCGAACCGTATTTGAACCAATATAATGTTCAAGAAGTATTCGATAACACTCGTACCAAGTGGTGTTGCTCCCCTGGATATTTAATCATTAAATTTGAGAATGATGTCAAACACTAAGTGGTGCTTGGAAACATACTATATATTCATTTCGATATATATGTTATATATTATTTATCATTTATGGAGTTATGAAATAGCAAAATCCATTATATTCACTTCAATCGTGATATTATGACATTTATGACCGAAGTGACCATTGATTGCTATAATGACTTACATACATGCTTACAAAGTGCCCGATCATTAAAACGCATTTATCTGAACGAATCAGCATCACCAAAGAGCACTTGGTTAGTTGAAACACAGCAGAAAAGACAAACGCAACAACTTTGCGTCATAATAAATGAAAAACTCTCTCATCGCCCAACTACCACAATGACACTTTTACAGTTTGGTTTGTTTACTTTTTTAGCAAGTTTTACAGTCTCATCTAATGCTGATTGCTAGATCCACTTAATGCTTTTACATTTCAATGACAAAAAATTTAACCACATAGTGGAAAAGGGGTTAATTGTCTAAGACCGTAAATGAGCGTCATCGTTGAATTTAGTAAAAACAAAAGATACCATCCTTGTTGCTGATATTATTGTTGAATGGTTATGTTATTACCACCAATAACAAGAGTATTTGAGCATTGTTTTGCTATGTCATAATAATAACCTTTAAATTGGCTCACTTTTGACCTAGAACTAGATTTGTGTGTGTGTGTGTGGCAAAAACGTGTGCTCTCGTTCGGACACGAACAGATGGTTTGTTGAGCAAAGTGTCGCTGATGATTGGACTGAATACAAATTAACGAATGTGATGCATTCAATGAAAATCCCCATCCTTGTATATTCCGTTCTATCAATTGAGATTAGACCAAATTCCAAGAATGTGTCAACATTAAAATGACAAGAACAGAAGAAAAAAAAAATCATTATTGTCTCTTTGTCAAAAATGTAAATATGTATGGCAAGTGTATCGCATGGAATTTTCTGTTGTGCCTCAAGTAATGGAAAATAATATGAAGAACTGTTTCTCTGTTTGACATTGTCAAAGAAATTCGAAACCCATGCGACATATTGCTGTGTAAATAAATATATATTTTGATGTCAACAGACTAAAACCAGAAAGACGAACACACCGGCTTTTCTTGTAATAACCACAAGTAACATAAATTTTCAACGTAATAACATGAACTTACACAAAAGCACACCCCGTTTTATGCCAAACATTTGTATATTTTGGGATATTGTTTTCGTCTATGTAGTGAGCCACAAAGAGATAGATAGAGAGTGAGAAATAAAATCAATTTTGATTAGTCAATTTCTTTGATGCAAATAGAATTATGTTCTTATGTTTCGAAAGACAAAGTAAAATTTAAATTTGAAGAGCTCAACTCAGTTTCTTTCGTTACCCAAATGAAATTATTTTGTGCTTACCAATTTATTGGTTTATCTGATTAATCGGAATCATACGCGAAAATATGGTTACTGTTTTATGTGGCTGGAAAAAAAAGGTTTGATGAATTTAAAATAATCATGAAAGTGGAATGCTTATGCAAAATTAATGATAAGACATTTTTAAATTTATATAAGTTGCCGCACATTTCAGTTCGAATCTCATTTGTTTTTTGTCGTCTGCGTCGTCATCATCATCGTTGCCAGTTTCTTTGTTGAAAACTATACAAAAATACTATAACAAAACGGTCGCCACCAACGATGATGAGCATGTTTTAAGGGGTCTCATTAATTCTCAATTTTATATACGTTTATACGCAAAATGCGAGCATGAAAATACTAACTTCGCTTTCATTGTTTGAGTGATTTTCTCGAAGGCAAAAAAAAACTCTTGGTTTTTAAAAGTGGAGAGAGAGAAGAACTTTTTTACACGCTTTCCGGACCGGATAATTCTCTGACAGGCTTAGTCCTTTTTTACTTGACTTGGGTTTGAGAATCGAAAAAAAAACTTTTTTCCCCTTTACTCAACCTGCTCGCTATAATTGAGTGAATTTAAACATAGACCAAAACTTAAAGTCCAACCGATTAATGAAAAAACATTTCATACAATCTTGCACTAGCGCTATCTGCCTTTCGCAAATCACTCATATACAGTCGGAATGTGGAAATATATTCACAAAAAGTGATTCACATGGAAAATTTGGATCGGAAAACGAGAATCTTTGGTGAAAAATGAAAAAAAGCATTCCATTCTCTCAAGTGATGTTTTGCATATTCTCTCCGGAAATTCTTTCTTCATTTTTTTTTCACGAAATAAAAAAATGAAACGTTTATATTTTCATCATTTTGTGTGCGCTTGCCACGAATAAAAAAATTGTTGTCCCTGTCACATCCCTTATTATTTAGGAAAAATGGCTATATTACCACATAACCATAAAATACAAAGTAAACTCATACCAAAGAAGTGCTTCAATCTAGCGGTTAATTTTCCTTTGTGTTCTACCACTTTTTGTGTACACTGTACAGCTTTATACCGTATAACTTATGATATGAAGTTCATGAAAAATGATAAACAATATAGTATGAGCAATAAAAGACCTTGAAAGAGGGGGGGGAGAGAGAGAAGTGTGGTAGCAGAAAAAAGCCAACTAAGAAGATAGCATCCAAAAACTGTCCATTGACGATACAAAGTTGCAAAGAATTCATATCTTAACGTTCTCTCATTAATAAATATCCATAGTAATAAATGATGAGCGGAAGTTTGATGCCTCATGAGATTTGATTACATAATATCGTTACCACACTTGGCTTGACTACTTTGACACATCAATATTTTATCATTGTATATATCATACATTAAAATCAGAGACAATTTACTAACTGTAGCACACCAAAGTGCCCAATTTTTCGTACACTTTTTTTTTCTCTTTGCAAATTAATGAATGTCATCATAATTTTTGTCATCAGAAAAAAAAACGATAAAAAAAATCTACTTCACTAGAGTATTGCACAAATAATAAGGCATTGTTATTGATATAGGTTCGTTTTTTGCAATTCGTTTTATTTGCGCTTTCGTTCAATAGCCTACGTTAAAAGTTATATGTTCGGCAGTTCGGATAAAAGAACTTTGATAAATTTATTTGTTTTGCAAACAAAGCGAAAACAATCGATTTGTTCGGTAAATGATACAAACAAATGTTTCTCGAAAGTTGTTTCTTATTATCGAGAAAAATGGGCGAATATTGCTTGAAGCCATTTCAATTGTATCATCCGTTTAAGCGGGTACATAATTCAAAATCTATTCGAATAAGCCGATTAGCACATCCATATATTATGTGTCCGATATTTGTTATTATGAATAAATTGATTATATTCCCTTTCATGCCCAATTAATTACTATTACCAAATAATATAGACTATAATTAGTTAATTGGCTTGTTTCGTTAAATAATACAATGTTCAAAAAAAAAATATATTTGCAGAGCGAGTGAGCGATCACCATTTGAGGGTTCGTGCTGTGGAAAAGGATATACAGCTGTTGATGATTCGTTGCCACCGTCGCCCACCGAAAGCGCTGAAATTCCACCACCACCAAGGTATATCATTTATTTCTCCATTTGTTCGTCCAATTTGTATTGATCTACTACACCTGTGTCATTCATTGTAACTGTATTAGTCAGCGTTATTTACTAGATTATGTTATTTATGTTGTTTTGGCAATTTTTCAGATATCGCGTTGTACTCTTCGGGGATGCGGGCACTGGCAAGACGGCATTGGTCTCACAGTTTATGACCTCAGAGTATATGCACACATACGACGCAAGTTTGGGTAAGTTTAAAGATTAGCCGACGGTTTTTCTTTTATAACTTTTTTTCGGTTTTCTTTGAAGTTTTTCACCTACTTTAAGATAAGCACCTTTTCATATTACAAAGGTATACTAAAATCCGATTTCCATAAAGAGATCTATTTCAATTTTCATTTTCGTTAACAAATATAACTGCCACCTATGATCTACACCAATTTATATTAATTGAAAATGAATATATAGTTTTTTTTGCGATATCAAAGAAACATTCTTTGAATACACATGCAGACATGTCGACCGTTTATGTTCAATCGGCCAAATCCCCTTGTTTGAAGAATATGATAAAGGTAATCAATTACGCAAAAAATCATATGTCTGAATCAGTTGACGGTCAGATAACGTATTAGCCCGATCACGTAAAATACTAAACCTCGCATTAGCCATGGCATCACAAAGGTGATGGCATATGATGTTGGCCACACCATTTATGTCTGTATTATTATCCTTTTTGATACAACAAAGATACAGTTTGCGTTATGGATATAACGACATAATACAATATGCGCTAAGCGCATCTGATAACCGAATACATACGTGGCATTCACATTAGTTTTGCAAAAGAAACACATATCCACTGTATCCGACAATAATGCGCATTTAGGATGTCGCAGATTGGTTTATTATGGAAAAATAATGCTGATTTCATTAACAATAAATCAATTAAATTGGCCAGTACATACGCATACGGTTTGTATTAGATTGGATGTTATGATGAACAGAGAAGAAAAGAACGAACAAAAAAAAAAGTTACTCCAATCAGTATTCCGTCACTATGTAATTCAATGCCAATTTTTTTCTTTGTTTTGTTGGGTTTCCAGTTGAGAGAGAGAAAAAAATCCAAGCTCTTCAGCTATCTATCTGAGAATAATTCAATTGGTTTCGGTAAAATTTGCTTCGAGACAATCTGAATATAAATTCAAGAGCTGTAGCACATTTTCTGCTCGATGAAGTATCTATCTACACACATTTGCAGTGGAGAATTTTCTTCAAATCCATCATAGAGACGTGTTTAGTCTTGAGAAAATCGATTAGTTTGATGACGACGACAACATCCTTTTCTCATGACAATTACACAATGTGCATGCATTCGGTTCATCTTCTGTTCGGGTGTGTGTGTCTCTTATATTAATGATAAAATATTGGGGAAGCTACAAAAAAGTCGCTTTTCAAATATTTTGTTGGAAAATGTACGGATGGTAACATCCGGTAATTTTGGCAAAAATACAGCATTCTTTTCCATAAATATGTATTTCGATACACAAATACCGATGTAATATATCTTGATGTCAAGTGGTCTTAAATTTTGCTTTTCTAATTTAAACAACTTACGTTATTATTATTGTCTATTACAATTGTATGCTATTATTTGTCTTTTTGTTGGATGCGTAGACGATGAGTTTGGCGAGAAGACGGTTAGTGTATTGTTGGATGGCGAAGAATCTGAGATCGTATTCATCGACCACCCGAGCTCGGAAATGAGTGTAAGTCCTCGTTCTGTTTTTCTTCTTCTTCTTCTCTATTTTCAATGTATTGTATAGCTGCTGCTTTTCTCGTTGCCATAACAATTCAGTGCTCTGCTCTTTTCGATTGGAATTTTGTTCCGAATGGATAAGAAAAATTGCGGAAAACGCGAACAAAATCAATCCAATCAGTCAAAAGTGGAGTGGAAAAAAAACATTTTCACATTTGCGAATTTTATTTTCATTGGAATTGATGCAGGTAGAGAATTCCTTGTCAACCTACGAACCACACGGCTGTGTAATAGTTTATTCGGTTGTTCAGCGCTCATCGTTTCGCCAAGCTGAAGAGATAGTTAAGTACTTATGGCGTGAGAATGTAACCAAGGAGAAAAGCGTCATTCTAGTTGGTAATAAAGCCGATTTGGCACGTTCACGAGTAATACCAACGGCAGAAGGTAAAGCATTAGCCAAGTCCATAGAAGCAAAATTTATCGAAACATCATCAGGCATTCAGCACAACGTTGATGAGCTTCTCGTAGGCATTCTGAAACAGGTGAAGTATTACTCATTGTACGATTTTACATTTCACATATTGACTTATACACAAAGCACAAAGTACATGCATATATGTGTGCACATTATCCAATTTTTATATGATTGAACATCTTCGGAATTATCGGTTGCCTCGGCTCTCAAGGTCTCGTTCGATACATTGAAGACGATTCAACGACGTTGATAAACATTGCATATATTTTTTATAATGTCTTAGACGCAAGCTTGAATATATTTATTTTTGATTTTCCCTTTTTTCTTTCTCTCTCTATACTTTCTATGTTTCGACCGCGATTTCAGTCTATTTCAGTTTAAGAAAATAAAAAAACGAATACGAAAAACAGAAACAGTCATTTTCTAAATATTATATTCATGTTGTTTGCCTCACACACAGATCCGCCTAAAAGAGACCCGTGACAAAAAAGCTGCCGCTCAAAATGCCATGAAAATGCGAAACTCACGAACGCATATAAATTTCACATTAGCAAAGGAAATTCTCCAGAAAATCTGTCTAAGTGACATTACTAAATCAAGGAGCTGTGAAAATTTGCATGTATTGTAAGAAGAAAAAAACAACACATCGTTTTGACGGGTTTTTGTGTACATTATTATCGCTGGATGCGAATGAAAAGTAATCCCGACGACGAGCGGTAGATGTTATGTGCCGATGATGAATAGAAAAAAATAAATTACATTTTTCTCGTGAAAAGGTTTGAGGCAAAAAAAGGATAAATACGTCTCTTTCTCGTGTAAACGCTGGAATAACGATTTGCACCAGCAGCCACGACACGGAAATGTATTGCGTCGTATCGTTTTATATCCAGTGACTTTTCTATCTCCAGCTTAACCTTGAGCAAAAAAAAATTAATAAATAGTGTTAATTGTTTTTATAAATGTTTGATATACGTGTTTATTTAAAAAAAAAAAGTCTTTGAATGGTGACTATAAAAACTCTATTGAAGATAGAGAATCACTTGTATTTTGTTTCTTCAAACAAAGGCATTGTATAATGAACATAAAGAACTAAGTGGTAGAATACTTTAAATGGAAATGAGAACTTTTAAATCGATCGATAGAGCTTCTTGTTCTTGAAACGCAGCAAAATATTGATAAACTATTTATTTTCAAGTGATTCTAAAAAACATACTGAGTGCTTTTCAATGCAATCAGTTGACACAAAGTGTACTAAAAAAAGTCAAGTAATTTTAATAATAAAAAGTATATAGATCGATAAGATAGGAGTGACTTAGAATTGTCGACTTTTCCGAAATGTGCGAGAAGGTGAATTAGTTTGAAATATATAGGTGAATAGTTGAACGTTTATTTGTAGGCCACGTGCCACGTGAATTGCCTTGCAGCGGCGAATTTCAGCACATTAAAATTGATTTCATTTGAAGCAAAACCATATCAGCATGAAAATTTGATGATACTCTAGTATTTATTGATTTAAATCGAATGGTACACTTTCTTCGTATCATATGCTTGCAAGCATTCACAATAAATACATTATCCGCATGAACCACTTCTAGTTTATCTATATGTCAGTAATGTGCGAAGGGAGGGGGTAGAGGGATTCCGCCGAAATTATTCGAATTTGCTAGGGCTTTTTGGCGCAAGAAAAATTCTTTCAATTTGCTAGGGATTTTCGCCAAAAAAGTGAAGAACAAAAAAAAAGAAATTTGTTATTCAAATTAGAGAATTTTTAGTTTTTGGAAAATCAACCCCCCTGTAAAATGAAGCTCGCACATTACTGCTATATGTGTGTGGGAAATTGTGAATGCTTACACTTGGAATGCAACGATACCAGATTAGTGCTGCTCCTGAACCGAATCTATCGTCATATTCGTTTATGTTCGGTTCAAATGTCTGGAATGTCGGTTTGATTTCAAAATTCAATACGAAAAGACTTTACTATTGAATAATTTCACATTTTTGCATTGTTAAATGGTTGTATATTACAAAATATATTTAAACATATCGACAAACGTAGATTTTTCATAGAGATGCTCCATTTTTTTTGCATACACTCACAAATTCCAAATGTTTTTTTTATGATAGTTTGTAGTAAAATTTAACCACTAAAGTTTGATTTAATATTTTGTTTCTCATACACTCCGGAAATTAAAAAATGAAATACCAATCAATATTGCTGAAAGAGCAGTTTACCTTCACATATATTGCGATTTTGTCGTAAATATCTCTAGAATTGAAAAAAAAAAAAAATATTTTACAGTTTTCAACTTTCTTTATTCACTTAACAACTTAAAAGGGTTTCTCAACTTTGCCACAGCTGACGGCCTAAGCTATTTGTAGTTTTGATATGGCGCTTTTTATTTATATTTAGCATTTGGTTCAATATTTTTGGCCAAATCGATCAAATGAAATCACGTGTTTTAACTAAAAATATAGAATCTATAGATAGATGGTATTTATGCTGGGTTTATTCAATTATTATTGTAACGATGAGAAATCAAAGCAAATAAATAACACACACTTTTCGAATAGTTGGTACAATAGCATTTTCGTTAGTGGTCTAAAATCAATAATACTTTGATTCAATAATCAGAATTCCAATCAACAGTTCTGGTGTTTGAAATTTCATGGTACACCGTCGACAAATACCTCTTAAATAATAAGCTCGATGTGCAATGTATGAATGATATTTGTGTAATTATAATAGGAAACCGAATTTCATGAAAATTCGAGGGGGACTGGATTAGATTAATAAAAGAAACAGGGAGATTTTCTAGGATTACTCTGTTGTGATATGAAATAAACAAATTCAAATTGAAAATGAGTTTTTTTTTGGAAATTGCTGAAAACTAACATTTCTTGAAGACAATCATTAAGGGAGAAGTGAATATATTAGTTCAATTAATTTGATTTATGTATTAAATATAATACCCAGTTGATAAGATATTCTAACTAAAAATGAACACTTTCTCCGTCGATATTTTCGATGTGTTCGAATATATTTAAAAAAAAAAAATAAACACAAAACAAATATCATGAATAATTGACCAGTCGAATGATTTAATTTACGAAAGTGTCATCAGGCAATTCAATATAAGGATGTCAAATGTGGAATATTTCTTTTCAAATCAATGTTTTGTTGTCATTATTCATCAATGAAAGAAAAATAAATAAACATTGTACTTAATAATCAAATGAGTTATGATTTACACGATATTAAACCACGTTAAGTGACACTTGCTCCATCTGGCGTACGTATAGGTAAAGGCGACAAAAAACATATCAACGTCACAGAGGTTTGTATGATTGCATTCGCGAATAACTGATGAGGCATTTCCTTGAACTCCATGAGCACTACAATATGTGTTTACTTTCCTTCCCCTCGAACAATATGAATTTCTATCGGTCTGACATTACTTATTTTATGCTCGAAAATATTAAATTTTAATCGCATTATTTTTACATCAAACTGGTAACTAAACACAATTAATACATTCGCTTTTAATTGGATACATTTCGCAATTAATAAATTTTTATGTGTGTGTCATCATTTTTAACAGTAAAGATTTACACATGTATATTAAAAAAGATGCTTTCAAACACAGACAATGAAAAAAGAACTGATTTCGATAAAAGGTGAAGACGAATCAAATTTCTGAAAATCCTTGCAAAACTTCTCAGCATATTTCCTGCCACCAAATTGGTTGTAATCAAACTTTTAATGATATTTCACCTCTTGTTCATAATAATTTTGTACATGACAAATGTACATAAGTGGAAAACAGTTTGATAAGTACGCCGAACATAATTCCAATGCGTGAATACCAAATACATTCAACGTTGTACGCCAAACCACAAACTATATCTTCGCATTGAGACGTAGACATACACACATCGCTCCATACGTAGAATATTGGGAGGTAAGTGTCATTTCCTCTGTATGCATGCGTTCTCACAATAAATCGACATCGAGCGGGATGACTACGAACAACAATGACAAACACACACCTCATATGGAAAGCCAATATATTTTTCTCAATGTGTCGATTGAGTCAGTCTTTCGATTGAATATCGATGAAGTGTCTTAACTAAATCATACGATCAGTTGATTCGTGACTCCCAAGCACAACGGATTTGCCTAGAAGCAGCTCCTCATATCTACGGACTTTACAGTATTTCGTGCGATTCGATTTGAGTTTATGTTCAAACTTATTTTTATTTCTTTGAGATTTACCGGGAATTCAAGTGATTTTATTCAGTGCAATTCAGTGAAATCGTAAAAGGAATTTTATGTGAGTTAAAATTTGAAATTAAGTAAATATATACATAAAAAACCTATTTGTAATTATGCAAATTGTTTTTTATTATTGTACGTACAATAAAGTTGCAGTGTAGATGTTGTTGGAATTTATAATTTGTTTTCAATTGATGCAACTTCTTCCAAAGCTTAGTCACTCAATTTTATGAAAAAAAATCTGAAAATAATTCTTCAATCTTATAAACATTCGACCATATTACGATTATTGTACAATTATTTTCGTGGGAAAATAGCATTCATATGAATATGAATCCACTTTGAAATCAATATTCTGTCAGAAATTGCACAGCGAGTGTTTTATTGTGATATGATTTGACATTTGCAACGCAATTAAAGTCAGATTGACTAAAAAATTCCGAACATATTCACTCTAAATTACGAAGTCATTAATTCAAAATGACATTATTTGAGTGTGTTACGTATCGCCGAAAATACAACCGATACCGTTACTCATTCAATCATTATCAGTTTTCGTACCAAAGTGATACGTACAAAAATCAATGTTTTTTTTTATTCCGATATAAAAGGTTGCCAAGCATTGTAAATGGTTCTTAATAATTAAGTGCGTAAAAAATGCACGTATACTCTCGTTGAGTTTTGTCGCATCGACCAAATTCGTATTGCACAATTAAAGAGAAATTCGTCCCGCCATGTGCCCACTTATCGATCGCCAAATTTGAGTAATTACTACCTTTGTAATGCAACACACTCTGCACGTTATTCAATAAACATGTAAACTTTGAGAGAAATTGCGGCTGCATAAAAAATTACTTAATGAAAATCGGTGAGATTTTGATAAATGACACTGTATCAACAAGTATGCGTCTTCGCCCATTTAACATGTGCCCCTTTAAGCGATATTCGCGAAGAGACAAAGAAAAAATTATTCGTTGCATAAATTATGTGCATCTTGCCGACTCGGCTGATACGAAATCTTTTTCCAAGGTAATAAAAACAGTAAATTTATATCGTAGACATATTGAACTGTGAAACCGCAAGATTGTTTATTTCAAAACTATTTTAAATTATACCGAGACATGAATCAGGAGACATAATTATTTTGTACATTTTTTTTACATTTTAAGTAGCGCAGAAAATAGTTCTTTGTAATGATAATTTGTGGTGAAAAATATGTTTTGACTGCATTTCAAGGTTTTCGCATGATTTCTCGACGAGCGAGATCGTTTCGATGAAGAATTCCTTGAACTGATCGAACCAAATGAAATAGTTACATCTTCGCTTAGTTATCGTCCCTTATTTTAACTATATGTGCATTGTAATTGAGTTAACGCCGATTCACATCATCGACGCAAACTGGAATATATTTTAAAGGCATTATACAATATATTTAAGAAAAAGCGCACATTGATTAAGTGCATTTAGATTAAGAGCTCATAGCATTTGCAGAGTGAACTCTTTGTTCAAGTGGGATTGCAGTGGTTAATGATTTCAGTGAAATCAAGAGGTTGCATGGCTATGTTTATCTCTCTTCTATCTTTCTCTTCTACTTGAATGCTTATAAATCAAGAGTTCTCTAGCTGTTACCTCAATATTATTCAATATAAATAATATGCACTCGATAAAAAGCGTCAGATCGAATGAGTACGCGCGAACGAAAGAATCAAGTAAAAAAAAGCAATTCGAATATTTGCGGATCTTTTTTTATTCTTCAGAAAATTTCATCATTTGCAATGCAGTGCGCGCGAAATAAACGATTTAACGAAACGAAACAGAATATTTGAAATAAATGGCATTTATAAAGACAATTATCATTATTCATAAAATAGGTGGGTAATTTGCGGAGGATTGCTTAATATTAGAGTTTTTGAGTGGTTTTTAAGCACAAGAACAGAAGTGGCTTCGGTGAATGCGCTCACTGATGTTATGGATGAAACAAACGAATTGAACTGCTCAAAATAATGGCCAATTCTCACTTTCAATTTATTGCCTTGTTCCAATATTGATTATCTCGTCGTAATAGCTGCATTCAAATGAGCCTTTGGCCACTTTTTACGGTTTAATTGTTTCATGCCTTTTTAAACAATTGAAAATAGTAAATTGCATTTTCACAATCACATTGCATGAATCACTACTAAAAAAAAACATCACTACTTAGCATTTACTTTTTAAGCTATTATTTTTATTTGTTGATGTGTGACAAATGCTTACGTTACGACTGCCTTGAAATCGAATCGCTTTTCATGGAAAATCGCTGCAAAATTACTGCACAATTTTGGTTATCGGTACACATATCTAACGTTTCGTCACAAACGAATACTGTCTGTCACATTGCACACGCGATCAATCACGTTTCTTAACGATCGCAAAAATGTCGTTGAATGGCATCTGACACCATTATTTGTCATCGCTGCTTTCTTATCTCTACCAGCGAATGATCGAACGTTTTCCAGTTAATTACCGACAAATTCGTGATTTTTGAAATCGCGAGAAAAAAAAATAAACGTTAGATTTTGAAATAAGTTCGACCGCATTTATCGGATGCAAAAATTAAACAAGTCACTCAATATAACCTTTGTCGCATGTTCACAGCTCTGTTCCTATGTATCGCATAAAGACACAAAATCCATTTTCAGAATGTTTCGCGGTGACGATAGCAAAGTTTGCAGTTTGTGCGTCGCTATGTTTGAAGGCAGCAAAATTGCGTAGGTGCAAAGGCCAAATTTAACAAATGTTGTTGATTTTATTCGAATGATAGCAGGTGCCAGTCAATTGAATGGAAAATAGAATGTCTGATAAAATTCAACTGCATCTTATTGTGTACAAACATCGGTCGTACTGTCAACAAAGTGTTTGAATTAATTGTATTTGCCTTGAACGTTCACGTTTATGCAAATTTCAAACGCAATTCGTACGAAAAAAAATCTAGCATCTTTCAAGATATAATTGAAGCAACAATTCTATGGAGACTTATACTCAATGCATGAAAAATCGTTGAACTTAAGCAATATAAGAATTTTGTTTGCTTCAGAATGTTTTTTAAAAAAGTTTGTTACATTTGGTATTTCCGGATGATTCGGCGCATAATATTATGGCATAAACAACTGTTATTATAGTCTATTTTGTTTACATATCGAATTCTTCTAAATCGACGGTCACGTACATTAACCGAATATCAGATTTACGTAAATTCCAAGTAATGTACGATCTACGGTCATTACATTATGTATGTTTCTTGTTGCGGCTAATAGACGCACTTGAATATATAACATTTCCTTTGTTCGCACATTTGCACCCGACTAGTTAAATATAACGTATTGCTTTTCCTCCAAACGGTAATGATTTATGCAAATATTTTTATTTGGTCAAATGAAAGCAATTTTTTTACAAACCGAAAGACTTTCTTGGTGGTTTTTGTTGCCATCTAAAACTCAAAAATCATCTCTTCCAATGGATATTTACTTTGACATAATGACATTAGTAGTTCCGACTTTTTGTATTTTAAATTTTTGCATAAATGCTAAATCTACGAGTTGTTTGCCGTTTTCATTTAATATTTTACACATTCAAATAACGTAATTTTTGTTTACATCGTTTAGAGTAAGTAAATACACCGTTTATACACAAAAAAAGTTTTTTTTTTGTAAATTTTATGCCATATTTCATTGAGCGTGAAAAAAATAATTGCAAAAAAATGATTGATTTATCATTCAACCATTGTACTTTTGGATACATTGTACGATTGGAAGAAAAATCGTTTGCGCTGCGTCTTAACAGCATTTAATTAAATATAAGAAAATTGAAGACCAACGAGCTATTTCTTTCATGTCAAAACAAATTCTTGAATTCATTTTTCAATGTATATACATGCACCTAGTGCTGTTCTTTAGCGCACAGCATGCACTTAAAAAAATGGAAAATTCCAAATGAGTAATAAAATGTTCCCGATAGTCATCGGCGGCAATGCTTCACTATGACCATCTCATGCCTCTGTAGTCTTTCTATAAAATCATATACCCACGTCTGTCCGTATAAGGAAATTGCAATTTTGTTTTGCAAGCACTTTATCGCCAATTTTTCTCTCACACATTTATGGTAAAAACAATGCACCAATCGTCTATCATTGTCTCATTTGTTGGTTCGCATTCTTCAATTATGTTTGCGGTTTTAGAATATTCTCGCATTTTTGTGGTATTAATTTATAGGCGGTTTGGCTGCACAACTAAAAATAGAAAAATGCAGACACACCATAAGAACCATCGCTCATTGAATTCGAAAATGCCGTTTCCTCGCACTTCTACGATCTATATTTAGACATTATTATAGAGTTAAATGGTTGGAAAAACACACAATTCTCTATGCTGACACGCATAAATGGAATCCAGTTGCGTAAACATGACCGTGAAATCTGTGCAGTTCATTGTATGGTAAAATGAGAAAAAGAAACCGCAACACATCTATGATGATCATAATCAGTGGCGAATAATCATTTTGCAGCTGCTGAAAATAGAAAGTAAAGCAAAGAATTTTGCTGATTGCACGCGACATTAAGCAGTACGATTGAGGTGAGAAGAAGAGAGAGAAAAACTCGTCAATTTCAGTGTTTGCGGTCGTTGTGACGTCATAACAAAAACATACAATTATTAACGATATTCTGCAATATAGTTTGTAGATCGTTGAACCGTATCACTTTGTACGAGAAAAATTAAATGCAAATTTATTATTTTTAGATATTATGGCAATTAGATTCAATTAACAAAAAAAAGTACAATGAAAATATGACTTACAAATAGGATAAAAAACGGGGTTTTCCAAATGAATGACAAGTTAGACAAGAATTTGAAGAAAAAAAAATCACATAGATTCTGATAATGAATTTTTATGTTTTTCACAGAGAAATCAAGATAAAAGCAACCAACATGGGGGAAAATCCATCTGAATCGAATATAGCGAATTGGTATCGAGACCAAATCATTTTTATAACGGGTGCAACAGGCTTTATGGGAAAAGTTTTAGTGGAAAAACTTTTACGCGACTGTCCAGAAGTTAAAACATGTTACCTGTTGATGAGAACAAAACGTGGCATTGAACCTGAACAACGACGTGATGATTACATAAATCACATGGTACGTACCACATAAAATTACTATTTATACAAAAAAAAGTATTCAGATTTCTGTTTTTTTTTTTCGAATTAGATTTTTGATCGAATTCGTGAATCAAATCCGAAACAATTGGAGAAAATTGTCGTAATCAAAGGCGATGTCTCGGTTGATGGATTGGGTATGAGTGAAAATGACCGAAAACTCCTTATCGAAAAAACAACCATCGTATTTCACTGTGCAGCAAATGTACGATTTGATCAAGAATTGACTGGCGCCGTTAATATGAACACTTTGGGAACAAATCGCGTTTTACAATTGGTCATCGAAATGAAACAATTAAAAGTATTTGCACATGTCTCAACGGCCTATTGTCAGTGCAACGAAGAGGTGCTTGAAGAACGTGCCTATGCAGCACCAAACGATCCGCTGGCCATTGCAACATTGTGTAAACACTTGGATAATGACATTTTGGAATATTTGACACCCAAGTAAATATACATTAGAAACCATTTCTTTGGCATTATTTTAAAAAAGTTGAATTTGCAGATTATTAAATGGACTACCGAACACGTATGCTTATACAAAAGCACTAACTGAAGACTTGGTGAACAGTTACTGTGGCAAAATTCCCATTGTAATTGCCCGTCCATCAATCGGTATCAAAATATTATCGCACTTACTTCATTTTATTTATCTAAAACGAACATCATATTCGTTCAATAGTTACTGCTGCTTGGAAAGAACCGTATCCTGGATGGGTTGAAGGTATGAATGGCCCCACTGGTTTGATGGTTGGAGCTGCTCGAGGTATGATATAAAATCTTTTTTTTAAAAATCACATTAAATACCATCAATACACATGTCTTATGCTTTTGCTGCAGGTGTTGTGCGGTCAATGCATTGTAATCCAGATTATCCCGCTGATATTCTCCCAGTAGACGTATGTATGAATGCAATAATAACAGCCGCATGGGAACGTGGATTGAAATACGAAAACAAAGACGTTGATTTTCGAAATATTGTGAGTTATAACAGAGACCTATTCATTTCTCTCTTAGATAAATCGAAAAATTTCCTCTATAAAATTGTATTGTAGACTTTGGCGCACGATAAGCAAATGACTTGGGGTCTTGCCGTCGAAAAGGGACGTGAATTCTTTTATGAAAATCCATTGTGTTTCTCACTTTGGTATCCAGACGGTTCGATAAAATCAAATTATTGGCATCACATGTTTTGCGTTATTTTCTTCCACTATTTACCGGCTTATCTAATCGACTTTCTATTGGTGTTAATGAGAAGAAAGCCATTGTATGTGATTAAAGTGCATTAACACAAAAATAGCAATGATAATAAAACATTGTTGTTGTATTTTCAGTTTGGTTGGTATTCAACGGCGCATTTCACAAGGTTTGAAAGTGTTGCAATACTACACTACCAAAAATTGGACCTTTAAGAATGAGAAATTCTTACGCATGAAAGATAATATGTCTGAGAAAGACAAAGAGATCTTTTATTTCAGCGTAGAAGATGTAAGATATCATCTTATGCCGAAAGGATTTCATTTAATTGAATTCTCGCCATTTCCTATTCCGTCTATTTTTAGGTCGATTGGAATGCTTATATTGGTCATTATATTCTTGGCGCTCGGCATTATCTACTCAAAGAGAAACCAGAGACATTGCCTAAAGCTCGTACTCTGTTACGCCGACTGTATCTATTAGACAGACTGGTTTCAGTCTTGTTTTATGGATTGACTTTTTGGCTCATATACTCGTACTGGAGCAACATAATTTTTTCGTTTGAAAACGTTTTGGATAAATCAGCCGGACTTTTATACAAACGATTCAACAAAAATTACAGCGAATAACAGCAATACCGACATTTTTCCATATATTTTATTTTGAATCAACTCAATCATATGTACGACATTCAACATAAAACATATACAATATTATACATGAATAATTTTTATATTGGCCGTAAGCAATGACGCATTTCTGAATACAAATAATTTTATCACAGAGTAAGCATAATTTGAATTGATATTGCATCCATTCAGAATTTAATATCGATTTCCATGTTTCGTTTATCTTTTTCTTTTAAATCGTATATCGACACACAAGGAAATATGATTTCATCTGATTTTTCATATTCATGTATTTTAGATTATTCTTCCATACAAATAAAATATATATTTAAAAAAAAACAGAACAAAACTATATTTACTTTATCAACATTCTTTGCGTTAGCATTCAATTAGAAAAAAAACTGTATGTTCCACAACAAAGTAGTTGGTTTATTTGTTTTCTTTTTTTTTTTCTTTTTCAAAGAGATAAAAAGGGATAGCGCGAACGCTTTTCCCTGCTATCAAAAATAACGTGTACGAGTTAGATACTTGAGATCTAATCGCAAAGGTCAGCCACGTCGAAGTGCAATGACGCGCCTCACTTCGGAGAATCTTCCTTCTTGATCAAAGAAATCTCTACACCAGGTAAGTATGATTTGGCATCGCATCGAACAAGTACTTACTAACGCTACGCATACGTTGCGCCAGTGAATTATAAGCATCATGCAAACGAAAAAATTTCAACTCAGTACACAGTACACACGATACGAAGTCGACATACATGTGAGAAGCGTAGCGCGTGCAGAATGACCGTGCACGCTCTTTGCTCTTTTTCCTTTTACTTCATTCGTGTCTACATTGCGTTTGAATGTTTGTTTGCTATATTTACTGATGTAGTTATAGACTGAGCACTTCAACGGTTATACATAGAAAATTGGCAATTTGCCTATTGAGATTTGGTTCAAATAGTTTTGATTATTTTTAATTTGTTAGGATTTTTATGCAAGTAAGTAATTCTAAAAATGAAAAAAAAAAAAATCTCAAATATCAACGGCTAAATCGATATCTGAAGAAAGTTTTTTCGAAAACAAATGCTCAAAGGCTCAAATCTCTATTTATTGTTTATGTCATATGTTTTGCAAAGTATCAATTCTTAAACATAATTTTTTCGATATTTTTTTATTTCATTTATTGACACACAAAAGCACTTCAAACAATAAATAAAAGCCTTCTATTAGTATACCATATCATATTGATATACTAACAAATGATTGAGTAAACAGTGTCAGACTTTCATAAAGTATTCACCGAATAACATTTAATGCGCACAATAATTTTCTTTTAAATAAATAACATAATCGTTATTATTCAATTAAAAATAGAAATTTCAGATTTATTCATATTTATGGATTATTTTTAGAATGAAAAAGAAAGCGGTGCATAGATAAAAGTCTGTTCAAAGAATTATCATATGATTTTGCCTTGCTTTACAATGACAATGCATCTATTGATGAAGCATCTTTTGTTCTATGTTTATCTGTTTCATTGAAACAATTCAATTGAAGAGTAAACATGACCTCGATTAGTG